AGGCATATGAAGCTGCAAGCTACCATCCCGGAAGACCTCACGCACCTCAGCTACAATGAGATCCCCTTCCTAGACGTAAAGGAAGAGACAGGGTAAAGGGTTTATTAAAAATTTATAAAGGTCACTTACACTCGATAAGCAACAAGAAATAACGACCAGAGGCACACGCGCATAAATGCGGGTTGGTGCACAATTTATGGTTGTGTATGCCTGGCTGATGACGAATAATGAGCGAGAAATGGTCATTTCATTCCCTCCTATCTTTTTCGACAATCTTATGCTACATGTATATAAGTACTTGCATTAATGGGCCCGTCACACTTGGCGATCGATACCAACTGAAACAGTGAATGGAGCAACGTGTTTAGGTCAGGAAGGTTTAGCAATTACAGGTTAGCGACGCCCAAAGATGACTTTGAGAACACAAAGTAGAGTGAGACAACCTCGGGGAGGGGGACGGATGTCATAGGCGTGCAAATGTTCAATAAGCCATTCGTCCACATACCTCTTGCATCTGCCACCGACATATTCATATGCGATGAAGACGATGCCGCCTAAAACCTCTACTTGTACATACCTCAAATAGTGCGTCAACCCACAGCTTTTTTGCTGTTTGGGCGTTGGCGGAAAGGGAATTTTCGATGTTGGCGACGTAAGATACTGGCTGCGGTGAGGTTTTCGCGTTACATACCAGCGAGTGTGCAAGTTGGAATGGTCCGTAACCAAACCTTATTTTTGACGTTAGTATTGATAAACAACTGACAACAGCTTATTAAGCAGGATCCACTATTATTTCCGTCTTCGGCCTTCACGGCAGGAAGTCGCTTCAGTTGTAGCTACATCCAATCTATCGTCTACTCGAATTTACAGGATCCTTCGGCAGGTTAGATTCTAATCTAGTATATACAGCATCTCAAACAAGCATGTGTGTGTTGCCTCTTGACCCCAGTGAATAACAATAAAATATAATTTAGTAAATTCACAACTTTCCTGCGGACCTCAGGCGAAAAAGCCATAACTAAATGGGTTGGCTAACACCTGGACAGACAAGAATATAAGGGACTACTAGTGTGCATCACGTTATGCAACGTGCAACTCGGTGGCTCTACTTCATTAGTATTAATACTAATAAAGTAGAGCCACCGAAGTGCCACCGCCTAGAAGTGCGGGAGTTATATTGCATTTATCAAAGCGTCGCAAAATACGTTGCTTCGACTCAGCTGTGCCATGTGAATTCAACGAGTGCGGTCGGCCAGAGGGTACACGCTCTTGACATTAATTGCACTAGCGACATACGGACAAA